TTTTATTTTCAAGATATATTAATTTTATGTGCTTACGTTTTTTTTCCCCATTTAAGTCCAAATTTTTTGTTTAAGTTTAATATTTACATGTCAGCTATATTTCAAATACTGAAAATATTTGATAGTTTTAGTTTTAGTAACCATTTGAGATAAACCATTTGAGATAAAGACATGAAATGTACCTTAAATTCTATAGGGTTTGCTAATGTTCTTTTTTTTTGGAGAATGTTTTGTATGGCTGAATTTAATGATATCAAAGCTATATAGCCTATAAACTTACAAAACAATGTTACAAAACTTGCTGAGAAACCAGTGACAAAAAAACAGTTTTTGTGTGTGTTGCGTGTAATTTTTTTTTTCTTCAGAAAGGAAACAAATGTCTTTTTGCGAAAAATATAAAATAAATATGAATACATTTATTAATAAATATTATTTTAGTTTACAGTTAGTTTTCTATTGTTTTATTGTTATATTGTTTTGTATTCTTTTTATTTTTATTTCTATTAATATTATATATTAATTTATAGAAAATATTCGGATACTATTAGTATACTAATTCTGATTAGTTGTGATACCATTACTGTACCATGGTACTGCCAAAGTCCTTTCTTGTATTTTGTACCATGGCATTTGCATGATACTCCAAGGTACTTCAAAGAATACCATGATACTACCGTAGTATGTCAAAAACATGGTATTATCTCTGTACAAAAGACAGTGATGTTGTTATTGCACCATGGTATAAGTTTAAAAATAATGCTAAAATGATTGGCCCCTTTTTGGTAAATTAGAGTTGCTGAGAAAAAATTAGAAGGAATTCATTATTTGTGTTGCATTTATTTTATTTATTTTTTCTTAAGAGAGGAAACAAATACGTCTTTGAAAGAAAAATAGATATTTAGGCAAATGAAAGCATTTGGCACATTAAAGGCAAAACATTATTAGATTAATGCCGGTTATAAGCCTGGTTATAAACAATCATATTAATATGTCTAAACAACTAATCCAGTATGTTAACAGTAGTCTAGCTTCTGTGACAGCTACGTCTGAATCATCCCTTGGGTCAGAACTGTTTCACTAGCGTCTTTAACAACCAGCGGTTTTCTTTCTCAAGCACATGCTCTCACTTTTCACCCCAATTTGGTCTGTCTGATATTTTTGTACCTGATATTTTGACACAGACACCCTCCGGTACACAATGGGCGCCGAGGGCCTACTTTAAAAAGATGAGATCACGATCCATTTACTGTGGCCATCGCAACGATACTCAGTAATTAGGACTTGATATTATTTTCTTCTTGAGTGGAGCCTCCCAAGGTAGTTGCTGTATATGGCGAGAGAGCACTATATTTTAATGAACTTTTCTAGGAGAGATACAATTATTTAGAAATTGTACAGCAGAGGATCACTTCAAAGGAACAGACAGTGCTATTGTTCTGTGAGACATTGTCCTTAAAATTCTCACGGGAGTCTGTGCGTAATGAGACGCTTGTTGAGTTGTTTGCTGTTGTTGGTGATGAAAATGCCAGTGTTTTCTGAAATATGTGGTTTTTATCACGCCTCAAATTCTTACCGTGTCACCATAGGCCATTTTTGAAGTCTACTGTTTATTGGAAAAAGTTGAAGAGCTCTTAAGAGACTGTGATATTGGAGAAAAGGGGAAAAAAAGAAACCTTTCTTTTTCTGTATTTCTTTTTGTAAAATATATAAAAGAAATTCTGTGTTTTTCTGTCAACATGGGGTGCTGTGTGTACATTAATGAGGAAAAAAAATTAACTTAAATGATTTTAGCAAATGGCTGCAATATAACAAAGAGTGAAAAATGTAAGGGGGTCTGAATACTTTCCGTACCCACTGTGTATATATATATATACTGTATATATACTGTATATGGAAGCCTGTTTCTGCCACAAAATAAAAAAGTTTTTTTTAAATTAAAAAATTAAAAAATGTTGTATCTTATTTTGAGTTTGTATCTCGCAATTCTGACTTTTTTCTCAGAATTGTGTGAAATAAACCCACAATTGTGAGAAATAATGTCAGAATAGTGAGATATAAAGTTAGATTTGTGGGATATAAACTCGCAGTTCATACATGTATATATATACATGTATATATATATATATGTATATATGTATATATATATATATATATGT